TTTTTTTTTTTTTTTTTTTTTTTTTTTTTTTGCACAGGCTATTACAACAGCAGCTCCAATACGACTGAGATCTATATCCAGGAAAATTCACCAGAAAGTATCTTTACACCTGTACTGCTGGAATTCCAAGTTGTTCAACAACTAAATCTATAACCTCATTTTACTGTCTGAAACTTTCTCCTGATTTGGTGTTTCTAATACTAGCACCAAGGTTTGCATTGTCTGTAGCCCTTCGTGTAATGATGTTTTCATTACCTGCACATCATAGTATGTTAGTCACGCTGGTAAGGTTAACACCCACGACCAGGTTGCAGTCGAAGAGGTACATGCTGAAGCAGTCAGAGCACTGAGTGTTACATCAACAAGACTCCAGATGAGGTTTCTGCCACCTGAGCTGGTGTCCCAGCAGGCCTGGATAATGACATCCAATAGCACCTCCAGTTCCTTCTTCAGGATGGATCTGAGGAAAGAGCACACCAGAGTCACAATGATGCCAACACACACTGGTGCTAAGGAGTGAGACCTAGGTACTTGAGGCTTCACCAGACTCAGAGGGAGCGGGCTAACACTACCCGCTGCACCTACAACAGTTCAATCACACCACTGTCCTGTTTCATCCCCATGGCTGTGTGACTTAGTTCAAGGGCAGGCAGAACTCCAGTCAGAGCAACACAAGTTGAGGAGACATCTGGACAGGTTCTGACAAAGATCTCTCTACCTGCTTTCGCTTCTAAATTTCTGGTATTAATGAAACCACATGTAATCACAGAATGAAGACTAGACTGCTAGATGGTTAAGGAATACTTAGGAAGACAGAATGGAAAGATTAAAAAGCCAAAGCCTTGATTACATTACTGAGCTGCTAGGTCAAGCCATACTTGAAGCTGGTATACAGTAATGACCTTTCTAGACCTCCATTTTCTCATAAATCAAAGTTAACATGTATAATCTCTATGGATTCTGCCATCCAGGGTTTTTCCATCCTATCAGTCTCCAAAGGATAAATATACTCAAAAAAATACAAGTGCATTATATTTTGTCAGTAAGCATTAAGGAAAACAACATTGTCTATTTTAATGCCACAAAAGATAACTGAAATAGAAAGATATGCAAACAGAAATCCTTAACCTGTACTGAAACTACCCTAATCTCTTCTCTCCCCTCTGTACTTTAGCTAGGTGTTCCTACCCTCTGGGGATTGTTGGGGTGGAAGATAGTGGTTTAGAAAGGAAACAGGTAAGGTGGTCCTGCTTTAGAAGTCTTGAGATTCAGGTCCTATGATTACTGGTATTCTTTGGCCTTGAAGCTGTCATTCAGATTTTAGCCTCTTCTACCCAAACTCTTTGACTTTGGTGTGCCCTTGAGCTCACTCTTTTGCCTTATTCCTTCCCCCAGATCTGACCCCTGAATCCTACATTTAATTTTCCAACATCTCTGCAAGTATACAGTCCCAGCACTAGCCGCCTTCAGTCAACAGAAAGGGTTGATATATTAGCCAAGTGATTCTAGAGTACAGATTAGTTTATCTGTAACAACTGGGCAGAGAGGAAGGAGACCCAAGATGGTTTTTTAGTGGAGGAGTCACTTAATAAAAGGGATTAAGTACTGAAGAAGCCTGAAGGTTTGAACAAATTGTTTGAAACACTGCACTAGCAATTTTGAGCAGAAGCTTTCATGTACCTAGTTTCCTGGATACACAGCCATTTTAAAATGATGTATTTGGACATGTAGTTGAAATCAACACTCTAATGTGAAAATGCATTATCTGGATTCCTGGCTCATATTGCCTTGGGACTCAGGGACCATGCTCTGAGGCCCTGGGCACCTCAGGAGGAGGTTATATGGAAAGAAGCCATACTTTCATGGAAATAGAGATGAAGAGCATGATTCTGGTTAAGTTCATTCTTTCTTTGGGTTTTGCCAGATTCATGGGAAAAGGCAGGCCCTCGTTCCAGTTTTAATCGATTCATTGAACACTGTATGACCAGATAACCTTTGCATACAGAGACAGTGTTCCTTTTCTGAAGGATCTCAGGAGTTGGGGAAGAAAACTGATTCCATGAGGTCCCACCAGGGAATAGAGCGCACCCCATATAACTTAGATGAAGAGACTTCAATGAAAGGATTTCCTACAGAGGTCTGGCTGGGAGGGAGAGGTATCCAGAGAATCAACAGCAGTAAAAAACAATTAGCCTCCCTAAGGATGCAGTAACAAGCAGAGAAAGTAGGGCCCACTGAGAAGGACTCCTACAAGGGCGGCAGACTGAGGAAGATCCAGCTTCTGCCCCAGGAGTGGCTCCAGGAGTGGTTGGGGGCTGTACCTTGACCTCTCCTGCTTACTAGCCTCCTGCTAAGGCCCATCACTAGCTGATCCAGGCTGCTACAGGGAGTCTAGATGGTGCAGTGTATAGAGATCATCTGTCAAGGGAAAGAATAGCCAGAGGGTGGAAAATAGACATAGAATAATTACCCCATTCCACCTCATCTGCCATCCAGCTTCCATTTTTGCCAATCATTTATATAACAAAAATCTCATCTCAAGCACAGGGACACACAAGTGTAATCAACCACTGTAGTATCCTTTCAAGTGTCCAACTGGGAACTAAATTTTAAGATTCGTCACTACCAGTAAATTTCCTATAATGTAGTAGCAAAGAGGAAACAACAATTTAGCATAAAATAAGTGCACCCCATCATCAGGCCTGACCTAAACCAACAGAGCAAAGCAAGCAGGCTGCGTTTAGCAAACAACAGCAGCTTCTTGGTAAACAGGGCAAATGGACTCAAAATGAAGTCTACAACCCCCACACACATGGAAAAGTCCAATGATTGCACATCTGAGCAGACGTCCCATCCATGGGCATCCAAGCCATAAACACTTCACCCCAGATTCCTTAGCCCCTTCAATACCTATGTAAGTCTAATTCCTTTCCCAGTTAATTGCTGATATCTCTTCTCCTAGTGTGAGCCCATCCGCTCACGTATGAAACCTCTTCGAGATAGCTGCTCTCTCCCTCCCAATGTCAGCCCGTCCACACACAGATGTGATAAACTTGGCTTTTTCCAGCTAGCTGCTAAGTCTCCTGATGTTTAGTCCATGTTAACTAGAATAAACTTTCCTTCCAGAGCCTATTTTTGACAAGTGGAGTCTTTATAACACCCATCAGAAGCCGGTGCTAATGATCACAGTTTCCTTCTCTCTTTACTCTCTCCAGGCTCACCTTGTTCTCTACGAAGCACCTCAGCGGCAGAGACCCTGGAACTCTCACCTCAAACTGGCTGAGCCCTTCCCTGTTCTTTCTACGCCAAGTTGCCAATTCTCCACTGAACTTTCTTAATGGACAAAGAGGTTCTCAGAAGTGACTGTAAGAATTCTCTGGTGTCTGAATAGTCCTCTGGCCCCGTGGCATAGAGCAACTCCATTTCCCCTGCTCATCCAATTCAGGGATCCCTCCTGCCCCCATTGGTTCAGTGACATGAGGAATCTCAAAACAGCCAGGAAAGAGGCTCATCCTCCAGCTCCTCAGAGCCATGGCCACAGCCCTCAGTGGGAATTTTCCTCCTTTAGGAATCAATACCCCACACCTGTCACACCTGAGAGCATGGAGTTGGAGAGCATTAGCTGTAATTTCCAGAAGGGCAACTCATTCTCCACTTTGCTCCTGGCCCAGGTGTCCCTGCCGGGAAGAAAACAACACCCAATCCTGACAACAGGATTAGAGCATAAATGGCATCCCACAGGTGAGCTCTCCTCTCGTGGTGTCATCTCCAAACCAGCCTGCTGGGTCCTCCCTGAAGCCCTATGTTGAAAATGACAGAGATGTTGTCACTCTTAATAACTGTATTTGTGTCTCTTTATTGTACTATTTTAACCTTGTCTTAGCTAAGATGGCAACCATGGCTTTTGGCATAGCCCTCACTTATGCTCTGTCTGGTAAAGCTGCTGGACATGGAGAGATAGAAGCCTCTGGCTCTATAATCTAAACTTAAATATGATGATTTGATGCCCACCGCCCAACAGCGCTGTACCTCAGAAGATGGCTCCAAGCGCTGTTCTTCCTCTGTGCTATCCTTCTATGGTGGAGGGCAGAGGGGGATAAGGAAGCCCCCAGAAGCCAGTTGGGTGGCCTGAACCTGCTCTGCATTGTTCCTGCTCCATCCAGATCCACTTCTATCCAAGTATAATTTAACTGAAAAGCTTTCTGCTCACTTACCCCTGTCTCCCACTAACCTATCCCACTCTGTTCCGTTAATCACAGTGTCGTCCAGTTGCAGTTGGTCTCTCTAGAGGATTCTTCTAATTTTCTTGATGGCTATCCAGATCCACCAACCTCCTGATTCCTTCTGTAGCATCCTTAGAGAAGGGGAGAATAACCATCTAGTTCACTGTCCTAGGCCGGGATAAGGGCACAGAGGGAGAGAGGAGACAGGTACAGAGAACCTGCAGTATGGTGTGGCTGGGTAGAGTGGGCACCATAGTAAGGCAGTTAGTTATGTATGGCATGATTCCAATTTGTATGGAACTTCCAAGACAAGAAAATCCATAGAGACAGAATGCAGATTAGTGGTTTCCAGGGGCTGTGAAGAGGCAGGAATGTAGTGTGACTGCTTAATGGGTGTAGGGTTCTTAATGGGTTTGGAGAAAATGGAAATGTTCCAGAATAACACATTGGTAATGGTTGACTGACACTGTGAGTGCCCTAAGTTCCACTGAATTGTAAACTCTAAAATGGCTAATATGATTATTTTATTGTGTGACTTTTATAACAATAAGAAAAAGGAGTTAGATGTTATTGTAATTATGGTGAGAAGACACTCAGGGTTATGTAACTTTAGCAGTGACAGAGGTAAACAGAAGTAACAGAATTGTTTGACCCGGAAGTACTTAGTGCAACTGTTCCCTCTTGCACAGGAGGTGATGGGGTTGGAGGAGAGAGTGGAGGAGATTGGATGCTGACTCCAGAAAGGGACAAAGGCTGGGCGCTGGGCTGTGCACCATTCCTGAATTTTCCTAATTGCTATGGATTTTGTTGTTGTTCATTCATTTATTTTCAATTTCCTGGCATTCTCTCACCTTCATATTTGGAGCAAATACAAATGGGAGGACTCTTCCCTTGTGGGTCTTAGTTATAGGTAGGGGTCTAGTCCCCATGCCCACGTCCCCATGAGGAATGATGCAGAGCACCAGGTGTGTTAGTTACGTTTCTCTCATTGCTGAGATGAGCCAGACTTAAAGAAGGAAAGGTTTATTTCGTTACAATTCCTACAGGTTTTTAGTCCATAACTGGCTGGCTCCAAGGCAGGATGGCAGAGGGGCAACAGTTTATGGTGGCAGAAGGCAGCCAAAGCAACAAGAGCTTAACAGCATCTTTGTGCCCCTTTATCCCATCCAGACTACCAGGATTAGGGCAACGCCAAACTAATCACTCACATGAAGTAGTTCAGTAATCAGACGCCCTTAATCCCAGTGGCACACATTCCAGATTCAGCCCCCTTTGAAAAAGAAAGCCCCACCTCATCCGCATGAGGCTTTGGGGGACATCTAAACACAAGCCATAACGACAAGTGAGAGGTTAAGTGCTCTGGCAGCAGCTGCAGGCACAGTCTGGAGCTACATGATTTGCATATCCTGGTTCTGGATCAGCCTGGCAGGGTGATCCTGGGCCAGCCACTGCACATCCTGCTCTTCTGTTTCTTTTCTGAGCTGGATCACCGGCACCTTTCGCTTTTCAAAACACCTGGTAGTCCAATAAATCCCTTGACCGCTTGAATTAGCCAGAGCTTGTTTCGGTTACCGCTCACCAGGACCCCCACTGCATTGATGTAGCCCTGCTACCTCCCTCCAAAACGAGGGACACGACACATTCTAATCAAATGCCTGTGGCTCTGCTGCAAAACAGAATGCTGTCTGCACCTGATGCTTGTGCCCGCGTGCATGTGCTGTGTGTGTTTCCATTGCAACATCACACAGACGTGAAAACCAAATGCATTTCCATGCCCTGAGTTATCGTATCGATGGTGATGGGCAGGAAGAGCACTGCTTGAGCAATTAGAAGACTGGGCTCTGGGTGTTGTGCAACCTTGGACGCGTAGGTTCCTTCTCATCCCAGGTGAGAAGAGTTGTGAGCCCTTCCACAGCGCTTAAGATTCTGTGATTCAAGAAGCACTACATAAAAAACCATTTCTATTCCATGCCTAGGAAAACAAACTGTTCTCTCACAAGGAGGCTCTGTGTGACTCGGTACCAAACAACTAAGAAATTCAGTTGTTAGTTTGCACCTTATTAAATAATGCGCGGCCTTCATAGATAAGCAGCAAAATGTAATGCCAGCCACATTTCACCCTGCAGTATGTCATCTGCGATGTTAACACTGAGGAGAGCTGTGCTTCCCTGGCACTTCCTGCATGCCACTGCTCTGAGAGCTTTGCATATTTTACCTCCTTTAACCTTACAACAACCTCGTGGGGTAAGTGCTCTTATGATCTCATTTCACGGAAGAAGAGAGGCACAGAGAAGTTAGGTAGCTTCCCAAAGTCACACAGCTGATAGGTGACAAAACCAGTATTCAAATTCAAATTACCTGGCTCCAGAATCCAACCCCTTTCTACATGTGTGCATGCATGCAAAGCACACAAGTGCACGGATTCACATAAAAATTCGTCATTTAGCCAACTTAAAGTATGCAGTTTAGCAGGTTTTTTTTACACTCACAGAATCCATGCTTTTAATGATACACTGTGCTATCTAGCTATGCATAGCATCAAATAAATAATTCGACTTATAGTCGTAGTTACAGACTGGGAGATGGTGAGAGAGCAATCGTTGCTTTCATCTGTTCTCCAGTGTCCAATAGCAGCAGTGCAATTTCCGAATGAAGGTTATAGAGTCAAGGTGTGACAGCTTCCCAATTAGGAAAGCTTCTGCTTCTGGGCCACTTTGGGCCTCCCCAAAAGCTACATCTGAATCAGAAGAGAATCGTCCATCACATATCAGTGCTTCTGCGGAGGATCAGTGCCAGGGAAGCCCACACTGGCTCCAGGCTGGTCTCCGGTCTAACGACATCCCGTCTCCAGTGAGTCCTGACCTACTTCCTCTTTCACAGGTAAGAGCTTTTCACCTCCATCATGACTCAGGCAGAGGGGCAGGAGCTGAGAAAACTGGTCAAGGTTTCCTCTAAGATCCTTCCTGGCCTGGCTGTGCGGTGCCAGTGTCAGGTTGGTGGGTGGCCCTGGACAAGCAGTTCTTAGCCTGGCTAGGGGGGAAGTCGTTGACGCAGCTCTTCCGAGTGCAATCTTCCCTCTCACTGGTCCTGATGTTCCATGTGACCGGCGGAGGCCAGAGTGGCCGGTATATTTGGGGCGCGTGTATTCCAAGACTTCTCTCCCAGATAGATCTCACCTTCCATACCCTCCCTAAATCACCCCTGCCCACCTATTCTTTCCAGAACAGCTGACATTGATTCTGAGACTATTTTGGACCCTAAAATTCTATGGCTCACACATGAATGTATTTCTCGGCCGGGTACTGCTTGAGGGTGTCTATCCTGTGCCAAGCATGGAGACACACAAGAGACGGAGACCCACGCTGACCCAGGCCCTGCCCTCCCGACGCTCTTGACAGGGTGGAGACAGACAGACAAGCCCAGAGCGGCAACACAGCAGGACGGACCTGGGGCGTAGGGATCACTTTACACACTGGGCTTCCCTCTGGGACCCTTCCACTTGCTCTTTTCCAGGATTAGTGATTCCTTTGCCTTCTTTTCAAGGTTTCTATTTCCCGATGATCAAACAACCACATAATCAGCTCTGTCAAGTTCTCCACTCGTTGAATCTACCTGCCTTCTGGGTTCAGACGCAAAGCTCTCCATCCTCCGCGCGCGGCTCCACCCTGTTCTCAATCCTGCGTGTGAGGCCATTTGAATGAGGAACTTGGTTCAGGCCTCAGCTACAGAACATTAATATTCATGGCTAGTACTTGTAAAAAACCTTTATTTCCATCTTTTGTTTCTGTTGAGGGAGGGGTGTCTTCAAATGGCCAGAAATTCCCAATTCCTGTTTATTCTATCCAGGCCTCTATTCTCAGAGTATTTTCTTTTTGGCTCCATTATTTCATCAGCGTTGGCAAGGAAACTTAGTTCTGTTCCTGTCCAAGTGTTAAATGGATGCTCATGTGTCTCTTTGCCACATTGGTATAATTAATTTTATTGCAAATAGGATTTTTCTTTTTTTTCCCCTCTGCATGCAAATGTGGTACCCTTTCAGTGTTTGCATAATAGCAGTAATTCTTTCATTTGTACAAAAGGACATGCATTATTTTGGCAGATAGAGGAGCTCTGATGGGGAGATTATTACATTTCCAAAAGCAAAGAGAATAAATCAGAATTTATCCAGATGCTGACTAAACCTCCCCCGCTCTCCAATACCACTGATCATGAGCCAAGCAAATAACACACCACACTTTCCTCCCAGAGAGCAAACCCTGTGGGACAGAAGGCCCATGCAAGCTCTTCTCCATCTTCTGCTCTTCTTGGCCCTACCCTCTGGCTTCTGGGTTGGTCTGAGAGGGGCGCCAGTGTGAGAATGGAAGATGGGAGGAGAGAGGCTGCTCTCTCTCTTCCCCTGCTCCAGCCCAGCAGTGCCGCAGAACAGCCTGTAGGCCACAGCTCTGTCCTACAGCCCCTTCCCACCAGCTTAGGCCTCACTGGACTCTGACAACTCCCTCCCTTTGCTGTCTCAAGTTAGGCCCTGGAGCTTCCGTATCCCTTACCTAACTTTGTCCAAATCTACATAAATAGTCCTATGCCCAACCCCTTTGATTAGGGCTCTTTCCTCTCAGGACACCGGGCGAAACACCATTTTCCTAACATTTCACTTGGCTTGCTGTGTTCCCCACCCTACCAAAATGAAAAATCCATAGCACTGGGAAAGCACTAAGGAAGCCCCAATCCATGGTCCGTAGACCCCTTTACCTGTCCCCACATTTTTTTTTAATTCCACAGAGCTAGAGAGATACTTTCCTTCAGCACGTCTTGCTTCCCTGTGGCCAGGTCAGTGACTGGCATCTGTTGGTTTTGTGTTTCTGATCACAGCTCCCTAACTGTCCTTGAAGAGCTACCTCTTCTATGTCCATCCTCAGTTCAGGAACTGAAGCTCCCTAGCCTGGTCCCTCAGAGCCTCACCTTCCATAGGCTGCAGTGATTGCTTCAGGGAAGGACAAGTGATCAAAGCTCTGAATCAGATGAAATTCTGGGATTTGGGCTGAAGCAGCTAGAGAGAGGCACTGCCCTGGGAACTGAATAATCATGCAAGAGCCTAGAAATGAAAAGAGGAAAACTGAGGTCTGAGTATATCATTTGAGTCCTGGACCAAACCTAGTCTTGCTTTTGCAATTACATGGGAAAAATTTCTGTTTTTGTAAATTTGCTTAATCTGGGCTTCTGTCCCTGAAAGAACTCTGGTTCATACATTGAGGACAGAAGCTCTTTATTCTCTGTTTCCGTCACAGCCTGGATATGGGGGAAGCAGAGAAGAGAACAGAATTTAATACCTGTGGACCATCAATTGTGTGCTGCAGAGCAGAGCACATGCAAATGTAGGTTAATTTATTTAATTCTCAAAATAACTTTATTCAGCTAAGTTGAGGATCTCGCCAAGTGCTGCTCAATTAGCACATGGCAGAGTTAAGTTCAAACCAAGGACAATCTGGTTGCAAAGTTACAGACTTGCTCCCCTCAGACACCCTGCATTATCATAGTGTTTTCACCAGCTTCCTACCCCCTGTTACCATCACCATCATCACTGGTGATCTGGACCAAGAGAGTAAGAAACTTGAGTTTTGTATCTACTAGAAAACACACACTCTATACAAGCATATGAGTGTTATTAACACAAGAAGCAGGGAGTGACCAGGAGCAATGAACAGGAGTAGTTACCATGGTGAGAATCCTGACTCCCATTTGGGGTTCTAGAAGAACTGAGACTGAGGGAAGGGAATCCAGGGACAGGAAAGTGAGCAAAGGCATCCAGCATAAGAATACTAGGCCATAAAAAGATCCAGTTTATGCATTTACAAACTCTTTGAGTTCTGCTAATCCTCCAGCTTTCTGTCCTTGGCTCCCTTCTCAAATTTTCTCCTAATGTCTCTGCCTGGCAATAACAACACCAGATAGCTGATAAATCCCCAGGCTCCTGCTTACCATAGTGCTTGGCACAGTCCTTTTAAACTTCAGGGCAGAAAGGGGCAAGCTAGCCATCCTTCCAATGCGGTCACACCTACCCTGCAGTTCACCTTGAAGGCCCCAGGAACAGTGAACGGGTAGCCATGCTGGCTGGTGTTAAAGATGAAATGAGCAGCTTCACAATGGATCTTCAAGGTCCAGTGCATCTAGGCTCCTGTCCAGCTCTGAATAAAGAGGCGTCGCATGTTCTCCCACTGACGCTTGTTCCAAATATGGTGTGAATCCAGCCCCGGAGACTCAGCAGAAACCCTGCTCCTGCCCCCCACCCTTCCCTTGAAGTTCTCATTTGAGACAAACTTTCCCACGAGCATCATTGCCTCCCTGTACGCAGCACACTTCCTCCTCCCTATATCCATCACCAAAAGGTGTCAGTCGTTCTGACGTTAAAGCAGGCAGACAGACCAACCCCACCACCGCCCCCAGTCAGTGTGTCTGCCAAGTCAAACATGCAGAAATGCAGCACACTATTTTAAAAAGCAAGTTAAATAAGGTGACTTTAAAGTGGAGTCCTTTAGGACTGTGGTGAGTCCCTAGGTTTTTGGTTTTCTGAGCTCAAGGGACCAAACTGGTTAGCTTTAATTGTTTAGCTAGGCCATTTAGACCACCAAAACCGTTGTCTAACAAGACAGTATTTATAGGCTCCACATCATCTCATAGTTTAACTGTTCTCAAGTTGAGATCATCCTGCAGATTGTTGGGACAATTTTTTTTAACTCAGGGGAAGAAACAAACTATCTCTTCATTAACAAAAACTACTTATAAAAATGCAAGAGTAAAATAATGTTGAGATGGTAACTTTTCAATGCTATACAGGGAAGGAATTTAATATTCTCTCCTGGTCAGATTTTTTATTCTTAGCTATGGAAAATTTGAAGGTGATATTTTGACCCCTGGAGGCTGGTGCAAAGTTGATTAAAATTACTAGCTTGAAAAACTCAGTTGAGTCAAATTTCCTTCCTAAAACATATGACTGTGGTTTGATTTAACTTTACTGTTCACGTGGCACAGACTGATATGGTTTTCAGCATTTGGACTACACATTACATGTTCTAAAAGAGTGTGTTTATTTTGTTGCTGTCTTTCCAGCTGTGTCATAACCTCATGATATGGTTGTATTATTTATCAAAACTAATTGACCCATATACTCATGATTTAATTATAATGGTAGCAATAGGCACTTAAAAGGTGCCAGGTGTTGTGTGTAAGTACTTTAGGACACATCATATCTTTCAATCCTCCAATAATCCTTTCAGTTTCTATTATTACCATCACATTAACAATGAAAATGAGGCTTAAAAGGCTGTGTACTCCGCTCAAAGTCATACAAGCAGCAATCAGGGAAACTGGGACATGAAGCCAAGCCTGAGTGGTTCCCAGGGACCTCTTAGCCCCTGTACAAGGCTGACTACCATTGAAGAATAATTTGCGCACTTTCCGCATCAAATTCTACATCTGAATAATAGACTGTTTCAGATAAATCTGGGGAGGTGCCACATTCTGTGAAGAACATAGAAACCCTCACCAAAAGCAATGAGATTTTACATTGCCTTGTTTTCACCAAACAATAAAGATGTTTCTATACTTTGGAAATTTCTTCTACAATAAACACGAATAAAATTATTTTAATAAAAACTATCATTTGAAGCAGTAGTTACATAACTGTAACACATGGCTTTCAGGGACAAAAATTAAATATGTTCAAAAACAAAATAACCAACTTCAAATGTAGATCGGACACACCAGTCAAGATAAAGCATCAGAGATGAATGCTTTAATTCATCCTTTTCACTCCAAAACATTACAATGATTAATAAGATATGCAAAGAGAGGGAAGAAAATAGGTGAACATTTCCACTGAGGAGAACTAGAATGAATCACAGGGTGACCACGTGGGTTTGAAGCCAGGAGGCTGACATGTTTGAATCTTGGCTCCCACCATGTAATGAGAACTAAAAGTATTTCGTATGACACAGTGGATCAGAACTAGACTCACTGCTTAAAGCCAGGAGCAGGGAGGGGCCTCTCTGGTCTACAGAAAGAAAACTACCAAGATAAAGCAATTATGAGCTTTTTCTTTTTTCTGGTACTGGGGACTAAACTCTGGACCTTACACTTGTGAGGCAGGTGGCAGGACCACTGAGCTAAATCCCCAGCCCACGAACTTACTTCTTGTGACTGGTTTTACAGGAAACTGTTGGTTTAGGAAAGTAGGCTGTGGCTACCACTTCCTAGCCAGGAACTGAGCCAGCCACCAGCTGCCCTATGACTAGGTCTGCACTAGCCCCAGTATTTTTGCAGGGCAAAACCCATATGGGTAGTTAGTAGGGGCATTAGCAAATCCCCCAACCTACTAGACAAATCAAATGACAGCAAAATGTCACACACACACACTCAAAATATTGCTGCCATAACAAATGAAGAAATCTATTCCTAAAGTAGATAGCCCAGAAAATCATCAAAATCATTCACTGGAATATAAAATACAGATAAAATTAATTTTGTGAAACAGCCTTACAGATACTTTAAATAAATACATCTAAAATGTCCAAAAGTATAAATTAAGGTTTACTTCTGTTAATAGTAACTAAGAAATCATGAAATACCAAGTAGACATAAATGAAATAAAAACAGATGGCTATTAAAAGAGAAAATACTGAAACTAAAAGAAAAATTAATTGCTACAATTAAATCTCAAAACACAAGACCAACTCTAGTTCTAAAGATGGTAATAGTAACTTGGAAAGTAATTGTGATGTATACACACAGAAGTTAATCCATACTGACTGAGATTATTTTACTAGAGTGGTTAACAGAAGTGGAAGATAGGGGAAGATGCTCTAATACA